GCAGGGTCAGACTCTGTGATCAACAGCGCTGCCTTTGTTCTCTGCAGCGTCAGACTCTGATCACTGTTAGGCTAGAGCACAGCAGGACTTTAGTTCACCTTCTTTCCTGCATCGTGAACCGTCCTATGGTAGGACTACCTGAGCTCCTCCCTTCCGGCAGAGATGTCTAGACAGAGGAGAAACTTTTCCTCTTAATGAGCTGGAGAAACTGTAGACTCAAAAAGTAGGAAGTGGAGAATTTTGCCTTCAACTTGTTATGCGAGGTGACTGAGTGAGATGTAGTGGGATGGGAGGCCCGTGTCCTGATCCGCTGGCAGATCACAGGCTTAACTACTTTGGATGAATGATGCCACTCCTTGGACTTGTGTGAGGAGGGAAAGGTTGTTCGCCTCAGAGGTATGCGTGAGGATTAAGTTAGCCGATGCTAGTGACGATGCCACACCTGGCACGTGGCTGCACAGAGCACATGCCTTTAATCCCAGCATTTGGGAAGCAGAAGCAGGTAGATCTCTTTGTTCAAGCCCACTCTGATCTACACAGTGGGCTCCAAGACAGCCAGGGCTACTCAGGAATCCTGTCTTGAAAAACAAACAAAACTTGTCTGAGTTGAGAGGAAAATGGGTAACAAACTATCATTTTATTTTTTTAATGATACACTTATTTTTATTTTATTCATCTTTTTCCTGCATATGTGTCGGGGGTGGGGGTGTTAACTTTACTGAAACTAGAGTTACAGACAGTTGTGAGCTGCCATATGGTTGCTGGGAATTGAACCTGGGTCCTCTGTAAGAACAGCCAGTGTTCTTACCCCTTGAGCCATCTCTCCAGCCTCCAAAATATCATTTTATATGGCTTTGATTAAAGGGAAATCTCTCCAGCCTCCAAAATATCATTTTATATGGCTTTGATTAAAGGGATATCTGTAAGACAAAGCTGGAAGGTATTCTCCCGGTGCTTAGAGATGTTTTTAAGTCATGTGTACTGCATTCTAGATGGAGCTCAGTAGGCTGATTCTCCACATGAACCTTCTCTGCCTTTCTAGTCTTCTTTCAGGCTGACAATAAATACCCTAAACATTTGACATGTCTCTGACAATAGTTTCCAGTCTTCTAGAGATGGATTTGTTTTTGTGTTTAGGGATGGATCTATTGTCATTGTTTTATAACCTGAAAAAAGCAAACCATCGTCTCTACAGAAGAATAAACATCACTGAAGTAAGTAGGCTGTAAACTCAAGAAAAATGCAGTGCTCTGCAAAAATAAAGTCTTTGACCAACTGACAATAGCTACTCATTTCTGTTTTTTTTTTTTTTTTTTTTTTTAGTCTAACAGATTAAAGCTTTATCTCCAACTAGTGATTGGAAATATTGTCTTATAACAACTGGCCTTGCCTCTTAGATGGCAAGTTTTGGACGGTGGAGCTTAGAGTTCTTGGATTCAGAGTTTACTCCCATGCAGTAGGCCCTGGCGCTCAAGTGTGAGCCACTCAACTTCTGAGTCTCCTCTTGACTGCTGCTTCACAAACCTTTTGTGAGAAGCAAGAAAAATGTGGGATTTGTTTTCATGTGCAAAGTATGAAACTCAAGGGGGCAGGTTACATGGCCCAGTGTGCAAAGGCGCTTGCCTGACGAACCTGAGTTTCATCCCAGAACCCACATAAAGGTGGAAGGAGAGAACTGACTCCAGAGAGTCGTTTTCTGACCTCCATACTTGTGCCGTGGCATGTGAGTGCCTGCACACTCTCTCACACACAGGCACAGGTACACATCTGCTACACACATAAAATAACAATAAATTTTTTACAGTATGGAATTTATCAGTTGTAGAAATTTATTTTAAATAATTTATTAAAATCCCATTCCATCAAGCCAGGTGTGTTGGCACAGCACTGGGGAGGCAGAAGCAGGTGCATCTCTTGACTTTGAGGCCAACCTGGTCTACAGAAGAAGGGTGTTCCAGGACCACCAGGGCAACACAAAGAAACACTGTCTCAAAAAATAAAAACAAACAAACAAAATTCCTTTCCATCACTCATAGATGGGTTACCAAGAATGCCAGGTGTCTTATTTGTCTTATACCTGTCACCTCTTTATTTGGAATATGATTATTTGATTAGCCTTGGAAAAATGGAGCTGACCTCCCTGATAATCTGGTCTTTCCCACTCCACTGTTCTTTCTGTGTCTATTAGACTTCCGTCATGTTCAGAGTCTGAAAGCTCTAGTCAGTGCCCCAGACCCAGAAGCCATGAAGGAAAAGGTCTATTACATGTCACCAACCATTATAACCACAAAGTCACAGATACGTAATGAACTGAGGTTGGCTGCCACAGTGCATGCCTTCCTCCAAGCTCTCAGGAAGTGGATCTCTGTGAGTAGGAGGCTAGCCTGATCTACCTAGCCAGTTCCAGACCCTGTCTCAAAGAAATAAACCGGGAAAAACATGCAGCTCCAATTGTCAGAGTTGGGATGGAAGCCAAGAAAACTCACTCCAAAGACAGAAGCTTAAAAATGAAGGCTTTATTTTCTGAACACTTAAGGAGGCAGTCAACTCGGGATCTGAACCTTGTTCTTGAGTGGAAGCTGTGTTACTTATTTAGAGGAAAATGAGAGGGGCTTAGGTGAGCTTAGGGGCTTAGGGTCACCCAATCTTGTTTTGACATTAAGGGTTAAGTGAGGAGTAGCTGTTGGAGACTGGGCCTTTTCCAGGACACCTGGCTTTAAGGCCCTTAACTCATGCTCCTAGAGGTTTGGTCTGGAGCTCAAGGGAGCAAAGGAGCAGGACAGCTGCATGCAGTTGATGAGGGCTTGCCAGGCAATTGGTCATACACACACACACACACACACACACACACACACACACACACACACACATATATATTACAATTCAGAAACCTTTGTTAAAATAAGAGCAGGTTTTACCAGTTTATCAGGCAATTAAGAAAATATTTTATTTGGGGCTGGAGAGATGGCTCAGCGGTTAAGAGCACTGACTCCTCTTCCAGAGGTCCTGAGTTCAATTCCCAGCAACCATATGATGGCTCACAACCATCTGTAATGGGATCTGATGCCCTCTTCTGGTGTGTCTGAAGACAACTACAGTGCACTCATATAAAATAAATAAATCTTTAGAAAGAAAGAGAGAAAGAAAGAAAGAAAGAAAGAAAGAAAGAAAGAAAGAAAGAAAAAATATTAGGAGGAGCGGGGTAGGAGCAGATCCCTGAACCTGGAAATATGAACCCCATTTGACTCTGTTAACAAAATTGGGGAGCAAAGTGGGAGAATTGCTTTTGAGAAGGCTAGGCTCTGGTGGCTTGCTCCTTACAGTCGGCAAAGCACTGACGATCCTTTGATACCAGGAGCATCTGGGTTAACAAGACTCAGCTGTCACCCTCTTCCCTTCGAAAATACAGTGTCGAGAGGCCCTTGCAGAAGAAGCCAGGATGGTCACTTCCAGCCTGGGTGCCTGTCCCCCGACCTGAGGGTTTGAGATGCAGCTGCTCCTCCTGCTGCTACCATATGGTAAGCAGATGAGAGGAAGATTGCTGTGTGAAAGTCCCTAGGGCAAGGAGGGAAGAAGCTTGGTCTCTGGGGCCACTGGATTCTGAGGACCAGCAAATGACCAGTCATAAGAACCCAGTTACTGATGAGCATCTGTGGGTCATCATCTGGCAAGATGGTAGCAAGATTGATGTCAGTGGGGTTTTCAAACCAGACATCAGGATGGTTCAGAAGTAGGACCTGCTACTGTTTCACACATGCATTAAACAGCCTGGGTTCTAGTGTTCTTTTGAGAAGAGCCTCATCTGCGTGAGGTAAATAACTTCAGGGACAAAAATGGAGAAGAGACTGAGGAAAAGGAGGTCCAATGACTGCCAAACTTGGGATCCATCTTAAGGGGAGTCTCCAAGGCCTGAAATGATTACTGATGCTATGGTGTGCCTACAGACAGGAGCCTAGCATGGATGTTCTCCGAGAGGCCCAACAAGGAGCTGACTGAGACAGACCAGATACATACACCTAACCAATGGACAGAAACCAGAGAGCCCTGCAGTTGAATTAGGGAAAGGCTGGAGGAAGGCAACCCCATACAAAGACTAGCAGACTCAACTAACCTGAGACCTCTCAGACACTGAGCCACCAACTAGGCAGCATACACTAGCTGGTTCGAGGCTCCCAACACATATACAGCAGAGGACTGCCTGGTCTGGCCTCAGTGAGAGAAGATGCACCTAATCCTCGAGAGACTTGAGGCCCCAGAGAGTGGGGAGGTCTGGTGGGGGTGGGGTAAACATCCTTGTGGGGATTGGCAGGAGGAATGGGATGAGGAACTGTGGGAGGGCAGACAGGGAGCGGGTAACAACTGAATGGTAAAAAAAAATAAAAGTAATTTAAAGAAAAAGAAAATACAGTGTCTTCCTGAAATAGCTTTCCTGAGT